GGATTGTTCGGGAGGTTTTAGTCGGGGATCCTTTTCTTTTAATAGACGGTGACCGCAGGTATCTCATGTAGGATGTCCTCCAGCTCGTAAGAAGTTGCCGAAACATAACCCGGTCCCGGGGTGGCTTTCTACATGGTCTGGATTGCAGCGCGTACTTGAACTAGCAGCTATCCGTAGTGTAATTTCTCCAGAGGGGATAACGGGGCTTGGCCCGGGTGTTGATAAATCTTAAGCGAACTCAAAAAGATAAGATATATGATCAGGACATATGATCCAAAAAGAAATCTTTTATCACCATCCTGGTTACGGCTAGGGTGGCAATTTTTGTAGTGCTATATTTTTGTTGAAATTCGCATGTGCATAATTCTTGCACTTCCTACTTGCAGATTGAACAGGGTACCATTGTAGGCAGTAACAGTCATGTACTCAAGGCAAAGATTTAATTTTATTTTCAATTGCCATCGCTTGTTACGTTTTTTTCAAATACATTTGTGAATTTAAATTCTAGAATGGAATTGTCGTGGTCACATTATTTATTTGCATTAGCTACCATTATTACTCTTCCACTTTATATACTTATATTGATAGCTATTTTGTGGAGGTTAAAATTATCCCTATTTCATGTTCTCATGTTATCGCAGGTACGTTGTTTTTTGAGCTCTTCTTGTGAATCTGATAGAATTATTGAATTTACATGTTCAAATTCTCCGGGTGTCGTACAAATATCTAGAGAAAAGTAAGATTAGTTTGCCGACTTACTTTGTAACAAGGGAACTGAAGAAAATCGAGCCAAAATAAGGAGCACAAAGGTCTTGCAGGGATAAACTACCAAAAAGAATAACCAAGCTGCGCATGTAGTTGTGAAAGGAAATTTTGGGTGCGCGGTTCGAAGGTCCAATAAGTTGTAAGGGCACAGGGCCTACTGGAGGAAAAGATTAATGCACAAACTTACATGATGTGTTGGTTATCGAAAAAATATCAAACCGAGTTTCTTACTCCATCTGAGTCCGAGAGGAAAGGCTAACACTGTTCGGGAAACGGCTTTTTGTAAAGACGAAAAACAGACTGGAAGGAAAGAAATCAAGGACAAACAGGACATTGAACACGAGGTAGAAAGAAACTGCTTGCTATATAGTCGTCGAAACGGGACTAACATCCTGATTAGAAAAATGAACCCATCCTTTGTATCCTTGTTGTGGGTAAAGCAACAAGGAAAAAGCGGAAACAG